ATATATATATATATATATATATATATATATATATATATATATATATATATATGTATATGTATATATGTATATATGTATATATATATTTATATATATTATATAATAATATTACTTATAGAGAGAGATATACTCTCCTTCTGTCTTTGTCTTTATCTATGTCTTTGTCTTTGCCTCTGTCTTTGTCTTTATATTTTTCTTTGTCTTTGTCTTTATATTTTTATTTATATTTTTATTTATCTTTGTCTTTGTCTTTGTCTTTGTAGTTATCTCATTGGATGCATGCATATCTGTCTCCTTTTCTTCGTTGCTGCTCTGCTGTCTCCACCGCAGCATCTGCTGCTGCTGCTGCTGCTGCTGCTGCTGCTGCTGCTGCTGCTGCTGCTGCAGTATAGAAGTGTCTGCTTGTGTGTCTCGTGCTGCAGCACTGATGCTGTTGTCTATTGTCTCTTACGAGGGTTTTCTTGTTTTTTTGCTGCTGCATGCAAGCTTAAACCCAGGCTCATTCACACACAACGCAGGTGAGGGTTTAGGGTTTAGGGTTTAGGGTTTAGAAGGTAGCGGGTATGGACCTAAAGAGATGCAGTATAGGGTTCAGCAGCAAAACATTACACTCCCTGCTGCTGCTGCTGCTGCTGCTGCTGCTGCTGCTGCTGCTGCTGGTACTTTTGCTTCTGCTGCTGCTGCTGCTACCTTGTGCCGCTGCTACTTGTGCTGCTGCTGCTGCTGCTACTACTTGTGCTGCTGCTGCTGCTGCTACTACTTGTGCTGCTGCTGCTGCTGCTACTTGTGCTGCTGCTGCTGCTGCTGCTGTGCTGCTGTGTTTTGCAGCAAGTGCATGCGTCCTTGCATGCGTTCCTCTGGCTGCTTTTAAGGGGGTAAGATTTGGGGCTTTGTTTTATTTATTTTGTTTTATTTATTTTTTATTAGTTTTGTTTATTTTGTTTATTTGTTTTGTTTTATTTATTTTGTTTTATTTTTTATTTTTCTTATATTTATTTTATTTATTTTGTTTTATTTATTCTGTTTTATTTATTCTGTTTGTCTACATGCACGTTTGTTTCTCTTTTATATATTATTTATTTATTTATCTATTTATCTATTTATCTATTTATCTATTTATTTATTTATTTATTTATTTATTTATTTATTTATTTATTTATTTATTTATTTATTCTGTCTCCTTTCTGTCTCCTTTCTGTCTCCTCTCTGTCTCCTTTCTCCTGTCTTGTATATACCCTTTCTGTCTCCTTTCTGTCTCTTTTTTATTTTTATTTTTTTTTGTTTTTTTTGTCTCCTTTTTGTGCATGCAGCTAACAAACATTTTACAGGGGTACTACGGGGC